TGTACTCAGTCTGCTCTGAACAGCCAATCAGAGACATCTGTGGAGAATGTGGGTTTCGGCCTTATTTCCACATTCAGAAAAGACTAAATGCTTCATGCAAACACCAACATGCATCCACATGACACAACCTTTCAGCCTCATATTTCACAAGTTTTTCTGCACAGAAACAAGCCGATTCGTGTCTGCTGTAGACTAAAAGAAGGACAAATAACTTCTGTGGTCTGAGCTGCTGAGGCCGAGCTCAGTGGGTAAAGGAAGGAAGTGGAGGAGGGCTATAGTGAGTAGAGGTGTGAAAGCTATTCTTAAATAAAGAGCAGTTGTGACTTCTGCCTTTTCTTCGTGTGTCCGGGTGCAGAGCAGAGGACGGGACCAGGATGGGGCTCGCTTGGCTCTGTGTGCTGGGGTTGTTCTGTGAGTACATCACTGCTTTTCAGGCTCAGTCTTTTTTCTGCATCAGGGAGAGGAAACCTCTTTTTTTTTTACTTAAACATGCCGACTGCAGCCGGAAGGAGCTCATCACCTCAGAAACTACAGAAATGTGTTCAGATTTAACCTATTTTTCATGATATTCCTCCATTGTTGTGACGGTTTTTAATGATTAGTGTTTAATATCGGTGAGGTTGTTCAGTCTAACTCAGTTTTGTCTTTACCGCAGTGCTCAGAACGCTCAGCGATGGATATAAAGGTCAGACCAACTTCCTGTTCTGTGTTTGTTTTAGCAGCTTTCAAACAGCAGCAAACGTTGTTTCTGCTCTGGAGGAAGAAAAATGTGATAAACGATCAGACATGAGGGGTTAAAATGCTCTGATCAGAGCTGATAACTGCTGATCCTTCATCATGATTCAGGATCTTTTCAGAGTTTCCTGAAAAAGACTTTGATATAAACTCTGAAGTAGAAAAGCTTTACATGCTTCAGTTTGACGAGGGGCCTCATTTACACGAGTCTGTTTTTCTGAAAAGATGAACAAGATGAATGAATGAATTAATGATACTAATAATGACGATAAGTAACATTTTAAAACAATGATCATTTTTGATCACATCAAAGTGTTTCTGAAATATTTTAATTAAATCTCTTTGTTATTATTCAGATTTTATCTAAACGTTTTATGAGGTGATTTACACTCTTATACTGTTCTGTTATTTTTTATGTCGTTTTTTAACTTTCAGAACATGAAATCAAACCAACTCTGAGAGCAGACAGAGAAATCCTACCAGCAGGGGGCAGTGTGACACTGACCTGCTCTGTGGAGGGTCGATCAGACCTCGATTTTGAACTCTACAGACGCACATCGAGAGATAAGGTCATAAAATCTGAAAGGTCAGGAGTTTTCAGTGTAAAGGAAGTAGGTGAATACACCTGCGGAGGGTTTAACAGCTGGATAACCTCCACATCTCATAGTGACCCCGTCATCATTCAGGAAACTGGTGAGTTTAGGACTTTAATTGTGGAAAAACATCATAAGAACAGGTGGAGATCCATCCTGAAAAAAACAAAAATATGTGAAGAACTCATTCAATTGTTTGTGTTGAATGAGTGTGTGTTGGAGCTATAAGTGTTTGTTTCTATGTGAACAGTTCCCCCGAAGCCCACAGTGGTCCTGCAGCCCAGCTGGACTCTGATATACAGAGGAGAGACAGTCACTGCCACATGTCAGATTGAAGGAGGAGGAGGAACTCAGTGGGAGTATGAATGGAGACCAAAGAGGTTTAATTTTCCTGAAACATCCAGAGAAATCAGAGTTTCTGACAGTGGAGGATTCAGCTGTCGGGGCAGAAGGGACGAGTTTTCCATCACAGAGTGGAGTGATGTCATCACTGTAACAGTTTCAGGTGAGTTGGAAATCTTTCATCTGTTTGAGAGTTTCATGTTTTTTTTTCTGCGTTACATTTCTACTGATAATGTCCTCTTTGTGCTTTAAGGAGGGACAGAAAATTCTGGAGAGGTCAAATGACTAAATATTGAAACTATTCATATCAAAATAACAAATGAATAATAAATAAACAAACAAACAAACAAATAAATAAATATATAAACAAACAAATAAATAAACCAAAAATGAAACTAAATAAATAAATAAATAAATAAATAAATAAATAAATAAATAAATAAATAAATAAATAAATAATCAGAGCCCTGACTTCCACAGTGGAGACTTTACTGTCGGGCAGAAGGGATTATCACGGACAAACATGAAGGAAACCAGAGGAGGAGACGCAAACAGCTGAATAGCTGATCTATGTCAGGCTGCCTTTGATGGGATTTTTCTCTGTTTCCCCGTAAACTCAACAGCTGGCACACCTGCAGCCTCTCTGAGAGCAGATAGCAGAATCATACCAGCAGGGGGCAGTGTGACACTGACCTGCTCTGTGGAGGGTCGATCAGACCTCGATCATAACCTCTACAGAGGCTCCTTGAAGAGGCAGTTCATAATATCTGAAAAGGCTGGAGTTTTCATAATAACGAAAGGAGGTGAATACACCTGCATGGGGTATAACAGGAACATCAGCTCATATCTGAGTTACCCCGTCATCATTCAGAAAACTGGTGAGTTCAGAACTTTCATTTGGAAAAAACATCATCAGAACAGAAGGAGATCCATCCTGAATAATCCAAAAATTTGTGAAGAACTCATTCGATTGTTTGTGCTGACTGGGTGTGTGTTGGAGCTCTAAGTGTTTGTTTCTATGTGAACAGTTCCCCCGAAGCCCACAGTGGTCCTGCAGCCCAGCTGGACTCTGATATACAGAGGGAAGACAGTCACTGCCACATGTCAGATTAAAGGAGGAGGAGGAGCTCAGTGGGAGTATGAATGGAGACGAAACGGGTTAAATAGTCCTGAAACATCCAGAGAGATCAGAGTTTCTGTCGGTGGAGGATTCAGCTGTCGGGGCAGAAGGGACGAGTTTTCCATCACAAAGTGGAGTGATGTCATCACTGTAACAGTTTCAGGTGAGTTGTAAATCTTTAATCTGTTTGAGAGTTTCATGTTTTTGTCTTATTGATATTTATCAGAGTCCTGTGTTACATTTCTACTGATAATTTCCTCTTAGTCCTTTAAGGAGGGACAGAAAATTCTGCAGAGGTCAGATGATTAAATGTTTAAACTATTCATATCAAAGCAACAAAAGAATGATAAACAAACAAAAACAAACAAACAAACAAAAACACACAATTAAACAAAGAAACAACTAGTTTTCGAATAAACGCCAAAAAAGCGGTCAAAACGCCACCCCATAGGGAAATGAATGGGAAATTCGCGAAAATAGCCCTAAGGATGAGGCCCACGACGTCCGAGAGACCCCTTTCAAACATTGAAAGGGTCACGAAAGATGGACCTCCGCCATATCGGAGCCACGAGGCCAGATCTCGCACCGTTTGCCCGCAATTGCTGTTGACGTTTTAGTGAAATTTAGGAGGTCAGAGAATTTTCCGCACACTCTAGCTCAGCTAGTTAATGCCTCTGAGAGCCCTGTGGGGACGTTCACCAAAAAAAAGTCAAACTCCGACGTTTCACGACCAAACCGTGGGGTAGAGATGAACTCTACCCTCAGAATGTAGCCGCGGGCGTCCTCTTTCAACCGATGTGTCCGCTTTTGACCTTGGCCTTACGGTTTTCTGGCAATCAGGCCCAGAGTCCAGACTTTCATGACCCTTTCTAATAGGATTTGAATGGAAGAAAGGAGACATTTTTTTAACCAGAGCCAAAACGGCCCTCATTTTGAAATTGCCATAAAAAAATAACAGGTGGCCGCAGCCGTAAATAAAATGCACTGGCTTCGACCTGAAACTCTCTAAGCGGTCACGGTCCAAGACAGAGAAATCCTACCAGCAGGGGGCAGTGTGAAACTGACCTGCTCTGTGGAGGGTCGATCAGACCTTTATTATGAACTCAAATGCTCATAGAGAGATAAGGTCTTAAAATACAGAGTCTGGAGTTTTCAGTATGAAGGAAGGAGGTGAATACACCTGCAGAGGGTTTAACAGCTGGATCTCCTCCACATCTCTGAGTGACCCTCATTCAGGAAACTGTTGAGTTCAGAACTTTCAGAATTTTCCAGTTTTGTGAAATAGTTTTCGAACAGCGGGCAGGAGTTCGGAGGCAACTTTAGATCCAATCTGACAGTTGGCTGTGTAAGAGCTGCGGCTTTGTGATGACTCACACCTGTTGCAATTTAGAATCTTCAGAGTTGGCACCAGGCAGCTGTTGCCGTGGCGATCAGCAGAGCTCTGTGAGCTGTGGAGATCATGGATCCATTGGTTCTGGTACCAGGCGGGCGAAGCCCGCTCTCAGTGATTTTTTCTGAAATACATTAGTTCTGTTACCAGGCGGGCGAAGCCAGGTCCCACCAGCTCTGCGTCTCTCCCTCAGGCCCTCTCATAGGCACAAGCTCACATTATAGAGTCCAAATATTCAGTGTCCAACTTTTGAGGGCCCCAGGAAGCCAGCCCCGGGTTCCTGGACGGGCAGTAGGTGGCCCCCTTCAAAATTTATTTGGAAATGTTTTAGTTCTTTTGTTAGAACTACAGTAGATCCATCTCATCTGTTAGAACTCAAGAAGCTTCTTGGATCAGAGGCCAAACGTCAACTTCAGTTGCCTAACTGAACTTTTCAAGCACGAAAAATCACAGACTTCTTTCTCCCTCCTGCAGAACAGCCCCGGCCTGTCCTCTCTGTGTCTCCATCATGGCTGAGTCCCAGAGCCTCAGTAACTCTGAGCTGTGAGCTTCAGCATCAGGATGCAGGATGGAGCTTCTCCTGGTACAAAGCAGTTCCTGATCGGTCAGAAGAGTCTTACAGATATGAGCTGCTGCCTGTTAACACCACTGGGGCCGAACAGGGTTCCTACATCCTCCATGACAGACACACACAGCAGGATATGTGTGCAGAGCTGGGAGAGGAGAGCCAGAGTATCACAGCCATAACAGCCGGCCACAGTTCGTCTGGTCTGCAGGTCAGTTGGTTTCTGTCCTCTCAG